TCTGCATCTATAAAACACATGTTTAATGAGTCACTGGTCTCTCTTTTTATTCTTTTAATGATTAAGATTAATAAATAACGCAGGGACAGATATCCTGTGTTATCAGGCACTCTTCATCTATGCTCTGGGGTGTTTCTGGGCTGATGATACCATTATCAGAATGTATATGAAAAACAGAAAAAATAAATAAAAGAAAATATATCAAAATGTTCATTTGCAGTTATCTTTAAGTGAAAGAGTTCCAAATAATTTTTATCTTTGGACTCTTAAATTTTCTAGATTAAAGAGAGGTTTTAAATATCAATTTATGCAATTCTGTATATGCCACTTAAGGTAGCTACTTCTGGGGTTTCTCCTGAGTTCACAACAAGCTTTTCTCTTCTGAGAATTCCTTGTTCCCCAGCCAATTCCGAGAGGAGTCCTAGGTGACTTTGTTAATATCAGTCAAGTCTTAATTCTAATGCTCCCTCCTCTGAGACTTTCTAAACACCCATCTAAAATACCTACCCTCGACAACTGACTCTATTTTGTTTTATACATAGAGCTTAATCTATCAGAAAATTTTTTTTTATTTTCATATCTACTGATTTTCTCTTTTTAGTGACTTTGTCTTATTTACTGCTGTGTCCCCAGGACCAAGAATACTATCTGACGTGTAGTAAATATCCATAGAACAAATGAAAAAGCCCCACACGACCATCTGTCTGGTCATAGCCTAAAGAACCAGAGAGAAGACCCTGAGCAAAGCAAGACCAATCATAAAATTTCTCTCTGGAATTTGGAACTGTTGTGGTAACATGTGAACACAGAGGTTGCAGGGTGGCCATATTCTGGCTTCAGGGCCAGAGGAAGAGAGAAATCTGGCTGAGAGAGAGGAGAAGACACATGTGAGAAGCAGAGAGGAAGGAGCCTTATCTCACGGCCTTCCTGGGCCTGCTGCGTTTCAGCCTTGGGCTGCATAACCTTATCATTAAGTTTTATGTTTCAGCTAAGGCTGGTTGGAGTTGATGCCTGTTACCTACAACCAAGGAGTCCTAAGTAATACACCTATGGTCACAGTCATGTTTCGGAAATTCATAGCAAAAAAGATTTGGAGGAAAGAACTCCAGAATGATTGCCTCTGAGGGACTATCTAGTTTTCTATATTGACTGGAAAATAATATGTATTTTTTTTCCTCCAAGAATCAGAGAGTGATAGACCTAGAGGATTCCAGGAGATCGTGTTCCATCCGTCCACTGTATTTTAGGATGAAGAGCTGAGAGGTTAAGCAGTGAAATGACCTACCCAAGTTCACAAAGCTCATTCACACCGCTGTGCCTCAGGCTTTCTGATACCCAGGCCAGTATTTTCCCTGGGCACCAGGGATTCTTTGGACAGTTATTGTGCTTTTCACTCTGACTTGCTACATTTCAATTATTTTTTCAATAATAAATTCTCTCTCAGGTGAAAAAAAGCTTCCTCTTATGGGTTCACACTAGTGAATTAGGTGTGATTATGGTGCTGCTATGTTGAGTAAGTTTCAACAGTGACACTGAGACAGCGTCCAGATTGGGTAGGAAAGAAGGGCCACAGCTGGTTACTGATGTCTGCACTGAGGCAGCGAGAGAGGGAGTGGAATGGAAAAAAGTTCTGTTCTAACTCTTTCTCAGATGCAGAGCAAAGCTGCCTTTATGAGAGCAGGGAAGGGTGGGGAAACAGCTGGAAACTCAGAAGATCCATTTTTATCACATGTCTCTAACCCTTGGTTTAAGTTACAAGAAGTTCTAACTTTATTGTATGATGATGGCAGAATAAGAACATAAAGACTAAGGCAGTGGCTGTATGAATTCTGCTTTGCTTTTTTATTACCTTTGTTTGAAATTTTACTGCACTTTTTTCAGCTAGCTGTGGGCCAAAGGGCTGACTGCCATTAGGCAGGGGTGTCAGCTGATGAATTCACCATAAGCATTACTGGGCAACACTGAAGCCTGAAGGAAGTGCTTGTGGAGGGTGGTCTCTTTCTGGGTTGAACATGGTGTGGCTCTAATTCCTAGGTAAGCTACTAATTTGTCTCGCTTGCTTCTTGAACTGTGTTACCACAGTTTGTGAACTAGTTTTAAGAAAACTCCTTAAGTCAGCTGTCCTCAAATTTTTTGGCCCCAGGAACCGGTGCTCTTATGGGAACCTAATGCCTGATGATCCGAGGTGGAGCTGAAGTGGTGATGCTACCACTGAGGTGTATCTGCAAATACAGATGAAGCTTCTCTGGCTCGTGGGCCACTCACCTCCTGCTGTGCAGCCCGGTTCCTCACAGGCCACAGACTGGTGCCGGTTTGTGGCCGGGGAGTTGGGGACCCCTGCCTTAAATGATTCGGGAGCCCATGTGGATGGCGAACAGCCCTGCTTTGGGTTGCATAAACCAATGAGACAGGAAGAAGGTGCTAACAATCCAAAGAACATTACAGGAACAAGACACAAATTGTCACTTGGAATCCAGGGAGAGGTAAAGCTGTTGCAAGATCAGGCAGGAGCCCAGAGGCCAGAGAGAGAAGGGACAGAGGCTTTCCCTTTCTTCAATGAAAAACAAGCTTGTCTCTCTCCCCTGCTTTTCCTCCAGTCCCCCTTCCGTAGCCTCAGTTGCTGGCAACCCCCATGGGACACCTGTAAACAATTCTCACTTCCCTGGGCCCAGCACTCTCCCCTACTGGTCTCTATGCCATGTGGGGAGGAAGCTCATTCATTTCTGCAGCTAGTTGGTAGAGGACAGCCCTGGGCAGAGGCTGTGGGATAAAGCAGCCTCTCTGAAAAGCTCTCTGGGAGTCTTGAGGGCTGGAGCCTACACTGCTCTGTAGTCAAGGCTGGAGTGGTTTTAAATACTTGTGGAGTGGATCATAAATGTTACCTCACCACAGACCCAGCTGCCAGCATCTCCAAAGTGCAGGGGAAGCTGAAGAGATGAGCCAAATGGAACTTCCTTGCCAAGTAACTCAGATATTTCTAAGGAGGATTCCAGAACTCAGATTTATCTGAAAACTCTGCTAGCCCTGTATCCATGTGCCAATCATTTGTGTGTGTAGAATTTAGATTGGAATAATACAAGACAGAGAAGAAAGGGATTTTCTGACTCCAAAAGTCGTTAAACTCTGAATTACTTAGGGACTTTCTCACCTCTACAAATCTTGGAAGTAGAAGAAATTCTCTTCTGTCTGGATAATTTCTGTATGTGTTCCAGGCTGCACAAAGGGTGGAAATCACTAATCTTAGAAAGGCCTTGGTAACCCTGAATTCTTAAGCCCCTGCTGTTATATAATGCCCTTTTTGCTTGTTTTTAAACAACTAAGTCTTTATGTGGCAACCAGAGGTTACAAGAAGCACAGCAAATAGGTTTCATCTTGCATATCAAGTTCTATTAATTGGTAATAGCTGCCTGGAGTGCTATGCTAACAAATATATTGAGGCCACATCCGGGTACTGCAAGAAAGAGTGCGACGATGGATTAACAATGTCTACCATGGATATGTAAGCTGGGCGGTTTGGCTCTCGTGCCACATATTTGACATCCCTGCATTAAATCAAGGGATACTTTTCAGGCTCCTATACCCAGGGCTAAGTTCTTAGATTTTAGGAAGTGGACCATGAACAGGTTTAGAAGGTAAGAATTCATTACCTGTTGTTTTCCCCCAAGGAATTATTAATATAGCTGCCTCAGAGACAAGTTTGTTACTTATGGTTTGATGTCTCCTGTTAACTTACTGTGAAGAGCAGAAAGTAGATGTTCAGTCTCAGAGCTATTCTGCTTTGGGGCCTCAGGACTTTGTTCTTGGAATACTGACCCAGCCTCTCAGTGTTCTCCTAGCCGTGCCTGCTTGGGATCTGTTCTCTATAAGGTTACAGGGTTCTAAATTAAAATCCTGATCATGTCTCCCCACTTCGGTGGTTCCCATCATGCACAGGACAGTTTCTTGCTCCTACATAAGGTCCATCGTGACCTGTCTCTTGCTTGCCTCTCCAGCCCCACCTCTTGTCCCTCTCTTCCTTGGCACTTTTTCTCACAGCCAAGCTGAGTTCCTTGTCCGTCCTGACCTTTTTCACTTGGGGCTCCTTCCATGTGGCATACCCTGCTCCCCTCACAGTATCCCCTCACCTCCACCTCAAGGATCAACTTAGTTGACCTTCCTCAATGCCTTTCCTTTCCCTTTAGTCTGGGTTAAAGGATCCTCAGAAATCACTCTGTGCTCGCTTTGACCCCATATTGTGATCACAGGTTTGTCTATCTTCCCTGCTAAAACCCTAAGCTCTAGCAGGCAAGAACTGCATCTTATCATCTGCATCCAAATCACTATGGCAACGAATGATCCATAGGAGGTGCTTGATACATGTTTATTAAATGAGTGAATGAATGGAGGTCAGGTAGTTCTCCCAAATTCATGAAATTAATAGTGACTCAGCACGGATTATCATTTGTGATCATGAAATTGATACTACACGTTTCCCCACAGTATCTTCATTGTTTTAGCTAATTACCTGCTTTCTTGACACCATACAGTACTTTTTAAAAGAACATTAGTTTTCGCAAGAAATTGAGGCAAAGGAGCCAACTGCCAATTATGAATTGTGTAAAAATCTAGAAATTCAAAGTCATTGAATCTTGGATCTAGAAGAGACCTTTCAGATAATCTCATTCAACTGAGGTCTAGAAGGCAGAACTTATGCCTCAGCCATGCCTTCCTCCCTCCCTTCCCCTCTTTCTCTTTTTGGAAAAAGGAGTTGTTTTCAGTAATTATAACGGCACCTGTAAAAACTGTATGATAAGATTTCATGGTCCATATGATGACAAATATTTAATTTTGACTGATACAAAAGTGAAGAGGGTAAGGGATCCATACTTTGGCCCAAATTGTGCAGCTACATGCACCTCTAATTCCCAGATCCCTTAACTAAAAATGTTCTAGTTTTTTTCTCATTTCTTATAAAAAATGGTTAACTGGCTCATTTGGAAGGGGGAAGGGAAATGATTTACCTTACGTATCTGTGTTTTCGTCTCATAGTAGGCAATCACGGGGATGGATGCTCGGTAGAAGGTTTCAAGGCGCTTGGCGATGGTGGTGGTGTTGTCTGTGCACGGGCTGCTCTGGCTCCTCTGGAGAAGGCGATTGGTCATGGTGTCTGCCGAGCAGTCCATACAGATCACCAGGTGAGGGTTTCCAATCTAGGAAGCGGGGTAGCACAACACGGTTAGAAATTCCACTCTGCAAGGTTCCGGAAAGGCCTGGGACCCCTAGTTCTTTCCTTTCTTGGCTTTCCGGTTCCTTTCAAGGTCCCAGAACTACACTACGACAGAGTTGGGACTGGGCTTCATGGCTCCTCATTTCTAGATCAGTTTTTCACATGCTGCCTCAGAGCTGTCTCTTGTCCTCAGCTTTTGTTACCTCATGTAACTCAGGGATTATACAGAATGCCACCCAATGTAGTCACAATCTGTTCTCTACACTAAGGGGAAGGCTGTGTGTGTGTGTGTGTGTGTGTGTGTGTGTGTGTGTGTGTGTGTGTGGTGTTTCCTCGTGGAAGCCTTCCTTGACCTACTGAGGCAGAGCTAATCACTTCCTCCTCTGTACCACCATTATAGCTTATACTAGCCACCAGTAGTGTAGTGTGACTGTGTCTGTATTATGTGGGAGTTAATGTCACGTAATGAACGCACAAAAGCTGGAGTCAGGCTCCTTAGGGTCAAATCCCAGTGTGGTGACTTGTCTCCAAGATGGTTTTCATCAGTTCCTTGACTCGATGTACTTTAAGCTCTACCCCCATTGAGACATATAGCCCATACCTCCACCTCCTTGAATCCAAGCTAACGTGTAACTGTTTTGACCAACAGAATACAGTGGAAATGATGCAATATGCTTTTAGAAGTAAGATAATTAAGAAATTTTTTTTTTAGCCATCTAAGATGTTCAACCATTCTGACTGCTAAGCTGTGAGGCAGTTCAAGCTACCCATGTGGAAAGAGGCAGCCATGTGGACAGAGATGCTCATTCAGCCCTTGGCTGTTCTAGACATCCCAGCCCTGGCTCCAGACCTGTGCACTCAGCCTTAGCCACTATCTGACTGTATACAGTCAACCGTGTAAAGGAACTCAAATGACAACCAGCCAGCCAAGCCTATCAAACCCCAGAATGCTATTAGAGAAAATAAATAGTTATTTTAAGATACTTTACATTGTCATTAATGGAAAGTGTCACTCAACTTCTCTGCACCTCAATTTTCTCATTTGTACAGTGAAGATGATCACAGAATTGCTATATGGATTAAATAAAACTAAGTAAGGTAGTGTAAGCATGTTGTTTGGCATATGGCACTCAATAAGTCTTGCATATAGTAGGTAGGTGATTAGAAAATGTTTTAATGAATGAATGACGATAATATGATTGGCAGCACGAATCTCCCCTATCTCTCCATCCTTCTCTTAAATGTTCTTTTGCTCCTGATGTCTTGGTGTTTATGTTGCCTCCACTACCAACCCCAACTTTGGAAAGAAACTATTGTTCCCTCTTGATCTTGCAATAATCAGGTTGTGAATAATACACGAAGGCTTGCCACTCCACTGCAGTAAGTTCCTGGGATGGATGGGAACAAAGTCGGGGTGTAGGGAGGGGCTTTTAGGTGACATGCACAATGGTAAGTTGCTAGAAAGTGTGGATCAAATATTTATCTATCCCCTCTGAGGGATGCACTTTAAGGAATAGCGTGGAAAAATTCTCCAAGACCTAGAAGAGTGAAATAAATCTCTGGAATATGTCATGCAACTCTTCTGCTGTATAAATTGGAAAACAAAAACTGAGTGAGCAGCAAGAAAGGCTAGATGAAGGTTTAGAAGAAAATGACCCTTGTCTACCAGCAGAGGGCGAGCTCGAGAGGCAGCCTTGAGTTCAGTTAATGGAGTTTGGATCCCTGGAGCAGTTTCTGGTTGGGGCTGCTTGAGAAGACTATGAGATTTTTCTAATTGTGGGGGTTTTCAGGCCATTCAGGGATAGAAAAGATAATTCAGGGACTCATTCAGGTACCAACAGAGATAATGTGTATCTAAGCAGGAGCTGGCAGGAATGAGCCTCTGGACTGAGGAATAAGAGGAGGAAGTAGAGGTAGATTTATCTTCCACACTGATTCTCAAATTGTGGTCCTTGGACCAGCAGCCTGGGCATCATCTGGGACCTTGTTAGAAATGCGGTCTCAGGCACGATCCAGGAACCGAGGGAATCACTCTGCATTTTAAAAAGATCTCCAGGTGATTCTTCACGAAACAACTGCTTGAGAAGCTGCTCTACCGAGCTGTTTCCTCATGCTGATATTATGGGGTTTGAATGAACTAACCTATCTCTCCTGGAATCACTTCCTACATAAAAAGCTATTGAACATTCATTCCATTTGGAAGTGGCCTGTCCCACTGACTTTTTTAATACCTAAAAGTTTTTGAAATGTTCAAATGAAAGCATTTCGATATATATCACTGGACTGTGGTTAGCCTGTAGTATCACATAATTGAGAGAGCAGAGAGCTCTGCCCTTGTCTGAAAGAATCACAGAGACTTGAGGACAACTCCCTGCTCCCAATATCACCCTGTAGGCATCCCTGGGGTTCTGCCACATAAGCACTAGGTTCTTTATAGCCTTTGGGTATTCAGGGGACCTCTGTTAGAGCACGAGTGCCATTGTTGTTGAGATACTCTAAGCAACATTTCAGCAGCTAAGGGCTTTAGATACAGCCATCCCTTTAACCCTTTCAGCACCCCTCCTGGGAGGTATTATCTCTACTTTAAGGACAGGGAAATGGAGACCAACTTGCCTAAGGTCGCTGAGGGCTGGTTCAGTGACAGACAGTCCTGAGCCAGCTGTATGTTAACTCCAAAGCCTGGGGACTTCACCCTAATGGAGGGCCAGAGCCTTCAGAATGGGGCTCAGGCCAGGTGGCTGGTGGGCCAAATGGAGCCAGGAGAGGAGGGCAGGATGGTGGGAAAGGAAGTGGGTGGCGTCGGAGGCCATTTTATTTTATTTTTTGGAAGCTCTTGCAGCCTCTTGGAATCTAGTTGTGATCAGCACTCATCTTGGCTGAGAGCAGCCACCAGAATGAGTATATCAGGTTCAGTGACTTGTGCTTATAGCTTTGCCTTGGTAATTTCAGCAGATGGAGCAGGAGGGGAAGTTTACCCAGCTCTCCTCTGACCCTCGCTTTTGTTTTCTTCTGATGAAGTGAGAACACTGGTTAGGCCATGTTTACCACTGGACAGGATCAGGCCACCCAGAAACTCTCTCTTGTTGAGAATAACAATCATCTTGTTCTCTCTGGGTGCCTCCATTTCCTAATTTTAGAATGAGGATAATAATAGTTTCTACCTCAAAAGAACGATAATGAGGGCTAAATAAGTTAATACAGGTAAAGTGTCTGGCCCATTTCAAGCATGACATAAATATGAGCTAACATTATTTAATGTGTGCCTGGCAGTATATTCCTTTCTTTGAAATGTAACAATCTCTGATGGTCAGTTTGGGTTTAGAAAGAATCAGAGCCCCACCCACACTTTTAGCCTAAGTCATATGCTCCAGCATACATACTAGTCTCTGCACTGGGGGATAAGGACCACTGGCTGACAATAAAGCAGCATGCCGATTTCTCATTTGCTCTCACCTGGAGGTATATCCCCTTGGGGGACCTCACTAGAGGAGGGGTATCTGGGTTATTCCAGCATTCCTGAACACATAATCCTAATGATAATAATGCTGCTCCATTGCTACCATAATTTCTGCCTCACATCACCATTACCCAGCTCAAAGTTCTACAAGTCAGACGAAGAGAGTGGAAAATCACAAGTGGAAAGTCTCAAAGTGGTTCCCAAGGCTCCTCACGATCCCAAACAACCAGAACACACCGAGTAGAATGTCCCTTGGCCAGAGGCGTAACTTTATTTTTCCTTGGTAAGAGCTCATTCTGAAGGTTAGAATACATTTATGAACAGAATCACTGACTCTATGAGACGGTTAAGAGCAGTCAGGCAGAGGGACAGTAATGTCATCACCCATACACCCAGGAAAATTATCTCCATATTCAGGCTAAAGGCAGCATTTAAGCTAAGAAGTTCCAGGGAGGGAAAAGCTAAGAGCAAGTGCGTTCATTCTACTTCCGTTAGTATGTATTTAGTTTGACTGTTGTTGAATAAAACGTTTGGTTAATAGCGGAAAGCGTTTCAATTTCCCATTAGGGAGCCAGGCTAAGTGCACACCCCAACTCAAGATGGTAAGAATCTATAAATTGGGAATAATAATACCTACAGAATGGGTTTGTAAAGATTAATAAAATGACATATGTAAAGTATCTAGTTTAGTTCCCAGCACATTTTAAGTGCTCAAAAAATAACTGCTATAATTCTGTTAGTTAGGTATTCTGTATGAAATTAACTATATGAAAATGGGTAGACTAAAGACTACCCATCAAAGAACATACATCAAAATGTTAATAGGTATTACCTCTGGGTGGTTATTCTTTGTTTTATACTTTTCTGTTTTGCCTCATAGCTATACAATTGTTAGTTCTATAATCACAAAAATACATATAATTTTGAAAAAACTTTAATGGTTTATTGAGTATGATGTGCAGGTTTATAAATGTGTAAGGCACTTTTCGAGGGTTCCATCCAATCTTCCCAATAAGCACTGAGGTAGCTTTTTTCAGTCTACATTTTACAGAAGAGGAAATTAAGCTTCACAAAGTTAAATGACTTGCCAGTGAGTTATAAAGCCAGGCTCTGAATACAGGCCTGTGAACACCAAAGTCACCGAAACCAGGGTTTCTCAACTGGGGTGGGAAATGGGAATGGTGGTTAGAAACTCCAGCTCCTCCTTCTTGTTCCTTCTGTCCCTGTTTCTCTCACAGACACAAACAAACCTGCACACGTGGGTGTGCACACGCACACACACACACACACACCTGTTGACACCCTGCCCTGCCCTAATATACCATATTGGATACAAAAGGCACAGATCAATTCAATGGGGGGTGGGGGTGGGGGTGGAAGTCAGCACTGGGACTAGAAGATAGCAAAGTAATGGAGAAATTACACACAGACTTATTCCTAAACTGTGGACACAGCGGTAGTTTGCATTTGTTTTTTAGCGATGTCATGTACAGTGGCAAGCAAATCCTCAAAGGACCTCGCATCTCAGAGAACTCAGCTATAGGTATGCAAAAGTGTCAGCCTAGCTAACTGAACTGGATTTTTTTCCGGCAACAGATGGTCCTGTGAATTAGGCACATCAGTCTCTGTGCTACAGAAAGGCTAATAAGATGTCCGTAGGTAGGTTAAAATCATTCACAGGCAGAATGGGCTTCAAACATAGTTGTGGGCCTGATGAGTGTACAAGAAACTCTCACTATGCCCTCAACTAGGTTGACTGCTCTGAATCTCTGGAGGAAATAAGTTGTCCGTATTTGTCTTTGCCACATTTCAAATTAATTACGTGCCTGTAATTTGGAGGGGGCTGTGAAAATACTGCGGTTCCTGCAGGGCATAAATGAATCAATAATGGCTCATTCTGTGTTCACAGCATCTTTATTCTTCTGGTCAAGTTAAAAAAGCAAGTGCTTGTTTTTGGAGTTGGATGTTCTCTCCTGCACACAAGTCTAACTGATAGTAGCATATTCTAAAGTTACTCTATCTAGGGACAAATAAATATGATGCTTGATTTTTGCAAACTCCTTCCAGAAGTATGTAAAAGACTGTTTTGGTAGACATCTCACTTGAAATCCATCAGTTCAGTAATGCAATGCACACCTGTATATTTTTTGAAATGGCATCATGAATTTTAGCATTGATTGAAACTATCTAGTCACCACACAATGTCTCCTTCTAACTCCTACATTCTAGTTAGGTTTCTTCTCTGCCCCACTCTAACACCTGTCTCACCAGGGTCCACAGTGGAAGAGGAAGTTTTACTTTACTTTAGGGAAGATCATATGGATGATTTGAATTCCTATACACCCAAAGGCCAAGAACAGCTATCAAAAGCCTTAATTTAACCTAACTGGGTTATAAGCAAAGGAGCAGGGGTTTATAGGTATGTATGAGGTATGAATAAAAAATATGTGACCCTGAACTGGAGAATAGTTTATAGTCTTTCATAGCTTAGAAACTCATTTATGTACGTTATATCATTTGATGCTCACAAGACCCTCTAAATAGGGTTTGGCAGGTATATTATTATCTCCATTTTACAGAGGAGGAATCTGAAGTTGAGTGACTTGCCCAGATGACATAGTAGAGGTGAAAATCCAGCTTTTCTGACTCTAGACCATGTTGAGTGAAGTGCTTTAAAGATGTCACATAGGAGGTTCTATGTGAATGCCAAGAGCGCTGTCACTGCTCAAAACGGTTTGGAACCCCATAGGCCTAAGTTCAGGGGTTTGCCCAGTTTAAAAAGTCCCAAAAGGAGAATAAGTATTATAATTTTGTTGTCTGCACATAGTAGCTGACAGAAAAAGAGATGCTTATCTTTCTATACATTTTATTGATTACACTTGGCCATTTCGGTTTTCAAAAGGATATTCTACTACTTCTGAGAGCAATTTAAAAATAAGACCTTTGAAAATATTTTTTCTCCAGCACTTCTGAGCAAGTGCATGACCTGTCTTAACTCTCCTGGAGGCCCTCCCAGGGCTCTCAGACCTTAAGTTTACAGGCAGGTAAATGTGAAATCACCTGGTCAGGTGCTGCCACCTTGAAGCCTGAACCTCCGAGAAACACTATTGACCCTTCAGCAGTTAGAGCACATCTCTCATTGTATTTTAATGAAGTATTTACGAAACTGACAGTCTCCACTAGGCAGGGAGAGCCTCCAGGGCTAGAGCACACACCTTCCTCTTCTCTCTGTCTCCCCTGAACTCCCTAGTCTTGCACATGCCTGATTCTGAGATGGCACAGGAAAAATGCCCGTCTTCCTCACTTATAGTATATCTCTAGGAGTCTCATCCACAGCCTGGACACAGGCTGGAAGAGTAAACAAAAATGTAAAACGATCCATGGGATACATCTTAATATCCCATCTTAATATTGTTAAGATGTAAATACTACCCAAAGCAACCTACAGATTTAATACAATTCTTATCAAAGTCTCAATGGCATTTTTTTTTTCAGAAATAGATATATCCATCCTAAAATTCACATGGAATCTCAAGAAACCCTAAATAGACAAAACAATCTTGAAAAAGAACAAAGTTGGAGATCTCATATTTCCTGATTCAAAAACTTATTGCAAAGCTATAGTAATTAAAACAATGTAGTACTAAAATAAAGACAGACAACTAGGTCAGTAAAATAGAATAGAGAGCCCAGAAACAAACTCTTTCATATATGGTCAAATGATTTTTGACTACAGTGCCAAGACCTCATTCAATGGGGGGAAAACAGTCTTTTCAACAAATGGTTTTGGAAAAACTAGGTCTTGAAGAGATATTTGTATATCTACATTCATAGTAGCATTATTTACAATAGCCAAAAAGTAGAAGCAACCCACTATAGCTTTTGATGGATGCATGGATAAACAAAATATTATTCATCCTTGTAAAGGAAGGAATTTATAAAACATGCTATAACATGAATGAATCTTGAGGACATCATGCTAAGTGAAATAAGCCAGTCACAGAACAACAAATACTGTATGAGTCCACTTCTTTCAGGTACTTTGAGTAGTCAGAGTCATACAGACAGAAAGTAGAACGGTGGCTATCAAGGGCTGAGGGAAGGGGAAAATAGAGAGTTGTTTAATGGCTGTAGAAATTGAGTCTTTTTATTTCATTAATGATTTTTAAGATGTATTTTTTCAATTACAGTTGACATACAATAGTTTTAGGTGTACAATCTAGTGATTAGACATTTATATATCATACCAAGTAATCACCCTGATAAGTCTCAGACCCATATGGAGAGTTTTGGTTTGCAAGGTGAATAGAGTTCTGGAGATTGGCTGGACAACAATGTGAATACATCTAACACTACTGAACTATACACTTAAAATTGGTTAGATTACCATATTAACTCATTTTATATTATGTATATTTTACCATGATTTTTTAAAAAAGTAGAACAATCCTCCTAATTCCACTTTGTAAAAAAGTAGTTGATTTATATTGAAGTCTGAGCTCTTACAAAGTGGTTTGTTTTGTGGGAAAAAGCTTGTTAGAATTCTGATACGTGAGCGTCTCCCATCAGGAAATGCCTAGAACCACCATGGTCACTGGCTCTGCTGCACAAATCCCTTTCTCTCTGCCCGCCCACCGGACGTAGGCTCCAGAGCTGAGGGACAATCCTGGCTGGGTCAGGGCCCACCCATGCCAACTAAGCCAGGGAATATTTTCTTGGACTCTGGTTCCAAGCAGGAAACATGGAGGAAGGTGAGCAACTATCTTTTAAGTATTTAGATATCATCTAAGGAGTTAAATAAAACAAGAGGCTCAGAAGAAGGTCAGACTAACACCCAGGAAACACACAAGTTCAATTCTCCTTAGTCAACATTGCAGTGTTGGAGATGGATGGAGATGGGCTCCTAAATCTTAGTCCTATCAGTAGTTGTCACTTACTAGTAAGTTGTCACTTACCAGCTGTGTGACTATGGGCAAGTCAGGTAACCTCTCTGGGCTTAATTCATCACCTTTAATGAAAATACCCCTTCTATACATTTAAAAAGGTTATTAAAAATAATATTAAATGAAATAACATTCATGAAAATGTTCTGAAGCCAGTCTAAAGGGATACCTTTATAAATATTAATTCTTGTAGGCTCTGGAATCTTTGTTTAACAAATGGAGACAACTGTTTCCCTTTTGTTTAGACTTTGTAAAATTAGAGGTAATGTAAGTAAAGTGTGTAGTACAGGACCCAGCCCAGAGTAGGTTCAGTAAATGACAGCTATGAGGGTTTTTACTTTCTGCTGCTTCCTTGTGAGTGACCCTTCCTAGTGAAGAGGGTGGGACTTGGGGCGGTTAGGATGGTGGGAGGTTGGAGTGATGCATATATTTGATTCTGCCTGTCCAGCATCACCCCCCTGACTTCTAAGGGCATTCCTATTTTCCCTTGAGTAATTTCCCTTCCCTTTCTCAGTCTGTGTGGTTCAGGTGTGGTGCCCATTCACCCTGCTCCCTTGCCATCCTGCCCTGGTCCTCCAGGCTGGATTAGTATATTCATGGATATGCCATCATATGCTCTTCTATCTTTCCCTTGGCCACAGTGATTGGTTCACTGATGGGCCCATGGCCTAATAATCCAGAATAATGAAACACAACTCTGGGTCTTTTGCTGGACCCATTGGAAAACAGAAACATTTTTCTGTGAGGTCACTTAGATGGTGAAATATAAGCCTACAACAGGAGTAAGATGAAGCCAACACAAGGGAAAAGAAAATCCAAGAGAGAGAAAAAGACAGATGATTCATCAATGAAATTTGAATATATGGATTTAGTCAACTGTGAACCACTCCTGGATGGTTTAGTTGCTTAAGCTGATAAATCCACCATAACAAGCTCTCCTCCCTTTTCCTTCCTTCCTTCCTTCCTTCCTTCCCTCCTTCCTTCCTTCCTTCCTCTTCCTTCCTTCCTTCCTTCCTTCCTTCCTTCCTGCCTTCCCTCCCTCCTTCCTTCCTTCCTTCCTTTTTATTTTTTTTTGCCAGTTTTTGTTTAATTTCTGCCATTTATAACTGAAAGTTTTGATTCATGTTAATTGGGAAAGGGACAGACTTTGAATTTATCCTCTGATCTCAATGACATCCCCTATTTTTCTTCTGGGATGATCCCCATAAGAAGACTCACCCTACGTCCGAACTCTTCCCCTTGCTTCACTTCCTGAGGATAGCTGTCAATCAGGAAGCCCTTGGTGTGGCCAAGGCTGGCCACCATGGCCTCCTTCAGGAGCTCCAGAATGATGTCCTGCAGCAGAAGGAAAGTGGTCAAGACACGAGCTCTTCCACAGAACAACGCTGGACTTACCTCAGGTCTCCAAGTCATCCCATTACAGGAGGGAGAAAGGTTCAGATAAGAATAAAAGTGGATGATATATACTGTATTTCATCAATTCTAAGGCTCATTCTTCCTCCCCGACTTACATTTTAATGTCTACGAAATAGGGAGGTATCTTACAACCAGTGCTGGGGCATAGTTTAATTGTTAGTGTTTTTTTCCTACTGGTATATTTTTATTAGTTATATTTTACTGGGGTATCTTAAAATAATGGCATCTTAGATTAGATTAAGTATAGTGGCCATATTCCATGTGGTAGTACTCCATGAATTATGCATAATGGCAGTTTAAAACTAGATTAAAACAATATATAAAATATATTTATTATTGATTTTTTCCAGCAAATATTTTATAAAATTTGACATCCACTGACTTGAGAAGACTTTCAAGTAGATATGAAGTAGCATTTTCTAGCAATATCACTTTCTCTGTTAAAAATTTTGATTTAACCTGTGCTTATGGAAAATAAGGGAGAAGAGATACATGGGAGTTTGGGAATGGATGTAGGAACAATGCAACCAGCTGCCAAAATGGGGCAAATTCCCTGATCCCTGGCTCCCTGGCATCTCCTGCATTTTGTCAGGGACTTGGAGAATGCAGCTATCACAAGCACGGTTAGAAACGATCCCTAGATAATTGTTAATTAACTCCTCATGAAGTTTATATTCTAGCGAGTAAGACAGATAATTGATGAACAAATAAATACATAACAAAGAGTCAGCTAGAGAGAACTGCTAGGAACAAAATTAAAGCAGGGCAAAGAGATACAGAATACCGGAGGTTCTGTTTTAGACAGAGTGGTCAGGGAGGATTTTTCGATAAACTGTGACATTAAAGTAGAGATCTGGATGAAGTAAAGGAGCAAACTATATGCATATAAGAAGGAAGATCACTCAGGTTGAGGAAATAGCAAGTACCAAGGCCCTGAGGCAGGAACAACCTGGCCTGTGGGAGGAACAATGAGGAGGCCAGTGGCTGGGTGGGAGTGAGCAAGGCGAGTGATGGGGAATAGCATGATGGGGAATAGCGTTGGAGAGGTAGCTGGAGGCCAGAGCCCAGGGAAGGACTCTGGATTTCATTTTAAATGTGGTGGGGAGCCACTGCAAGGTTCTGGGGAAGGGACTAACACAATTTGATAAACACTTTCAAGAAATC